GAGTTAGATGAGCCTCTGAAGACATCTCATACGCTTTGGGCTCCCACTGTTTCTGAAAAACAGAATAATTAATGCACTATAAATTACTGAATTTTAAGACATTACTTACTAGAATTTATTATTGTCCTCATACATTAAAACTTTTAGCATAAAGTTATAAAGTGAGGGTTTCTGTTTGAAGATGGCAGACTGAACAGATACTTCCTGTCTCTTAAAACTCCACCAGAAAAAAAAAACTATGAAACTGACTAAATGCCGACCAAGAAGAGTAGCTATGAGGGAGAGCAGGCCCGGAGACAACAAATCCCTGGAATGCTCAAAGCAGATGGAGGTGCAAGGAAGGGGGGCGGGGCTCAGCCTGGACCCACTAGGAGGGACGCAGGTGAGGTTAGCTGAAGGTTTGATATTTAGTCTGCCCTTCTCTTCACCCATTTCTAGGAAAAACAAAAATTGATGAATTGATAAAGAATAACAAAAAGAAAATCTCTGATTCTGATGCAAGACACATTCTCCTCTGAGTGGCCCAGGGGTTGTGCTATTAGATCCATAAAGAAGGAAATCTGGGATTATCACTTGACTCTGCAGTGAGTCATGTTTACACAGAATGGTCTTCAGAAAAAGTAAAGAAGTTTTAACTATTACAGTTACAAAAAGGTATGTTGGGTTTTATAACTTTAATGTAAGAAGATGAGTAAAACTGAATAGAGAAAGCAGAAGAAAAAGGGAGTGGCAGCTGAGTAATGACCAAAGTTGATGGAACTATAAAACATATATATTTAAAATAACAAAGGTAGCACAGAGAAAAACCAAAAATAACAGTGAAAGGATAGGTCCAAATGCTCACTTTTCATAGGGAAGACAAGAGATGTCTGAATTTTTTAAGTTAAGAAAAATTATATCATTTAGAGATACAAAGGGTCTCATCCAAAGGAACTAAAAACCAATAGTTAAAAGAAATGGGCTCCCGCCAGTTTATCATGAATTCTTTTGTACCTTTCCTTCTTAAAATTGTGCTTCTGTTACCTTGCTAAAACTCAAGATTTTAAAAACAGAAATAAATTACCTGATAGTATCACTTTATAAATTAGGCAACAGATCTAGACTTTTTACAGAATTATGCTTCCCTTCCAATATTTGGATTAAATCTTCCAAGTACTAGTAGTAGATTTAAAAAACAAACTGATGGTATCAAGGTTCATTAATTTTTCAGTATGATATGGTGTAACTCTTACCGGGTTCCTTTAGTGTCTGAGAATTCCCAGCTAATTCTTCAACCTGCATTTCACATAGTATTTCACCAGATAAATGGTTTTTCTGTTCTTCTTCTACCATTTTCTTTCTTAGATCTGCCTCTGAATGTATTGTCAGTTTAAGTGGTAAATCTTCAACTTTCACAAAGTCTTCTTCATCAGATTTTTGACTTATGTTACCAGATTCTGCTTCATAGTCATTCACTAACACCGGAGATTCAGTATCAGGACTTCCAGCCAGAGAGCTCTCAGGAGTTTCCTGAGCAGATTTAACTTCTTTGACTGTAGGCACCAAGGTTTCAATTTCAGTTAAAGGTAAAGGCAAAGGGTTAGGCTGTTTAGATGAATCAATGGTAGTGAGAGAGTCCTTCTGGACAGCGCTATTTAAAGGTTGCTCGTTTTCCAAGATATTGAGGTAACAGGGTTTCACAGGAGTGCTATCTTGGTCATCTTTACTAGTAGTGGGTTCTTGTTCTGATGAGACATTTTTGCTTTCTCCTGATTTTTCAAAGTCATGTTGTAGTACAACAAATACAACTCACACTTACTTCTCCAGCAGATGGTTCAGTACAGTTTGTGTTTATCTTGGGTGAAAGCTTTCTGCTCCTCTCCCATCATATCCCAGCTTGGTCACTTAGTGCCTTTATGCCCTTTTTTCTTTCAAATCTAACCCCAAGAAAGAAGCTTTTAAACTCAACATGGTCTAGGGGCACCTGGGTGGCTCAGTTGGTTAAGCGACTGCCTTCGGCTCAGGTCATGATCCTGGAGTCCCAGGATCGAGTCCCACATTGGGCTCCCTGCTCAGCAGGGTCAGCCTCCCTCTGACCCTCCCCCCTCTCATGTGCTCTCTCTCTCTCTCTCTCAAATAAATAAATAAATAAGATTTAAACTCAACATGGTCTAAATGAATTATATTGTTTAAAGTGTTATGTTTCTTGGCACATCTACATTTACAAGCCCACACAAGTTTTGGATAATAAATTTTGTCTTTATTGGTAGAATTTGAAGTATCAAAAGATGTATTGGAAAAGTTTTCTGGGGATGGTGGGGGTGCAGATGAGTCAAAGGGTCTTGTCCTGCACCTTGGAAAATACTCCCAGTCTCTTACTTTGCTTACTTATAAGATTAGTTCTGGTGAGGCATAACTCCCCTTCTCCCGAACCATCTCTCTCTCCCACCTTTATACTGAAGATCAGGGAAACCTCCACTAAGAAGCTTTTCTTGATTAGTCTCACCGTGCTTCAGCCAGCCTGTTTAAATTCTGGCCTACTCTTCCACTGTTATCAGGCTGTTAAAGACCTCCCACTTTTATAGGCCCTACCCCACATCATAGCACATCAAAATGCACAGACATCCCACACTAACTATATTTATTTTTTTCCTGTAAATACAATTTAAAAGGATCATAATACTTTTACATCTAAAATTTTTTAGTTTTGTATAACTTAAGATTGACTATAATTTCTTGGTAATCGTAGATTTTCAAAAATCTTTGAGAAAATATACCTTTTTTAATGTAATGAAGTTTTATGAATATTAAATTTCATAGGCAATGAAGAATGCACTATAGTGCCAGTTTATGGAAATTTAATTAGCACTTGCTAATTTACTTTTAAGGTTTTTTGTATTTTGTAATAAATTTTTTTTTTCAGGTTTCAAATGTTTTTACAAGTTCACAGGATGCACGTAGGCACTCATTTTAGTGAATTCTATTTATCAGGCAGTGTACTAGCAGCTGGAGTTAAAAAGTTGAAAATGCAAAGCCCCTGCCCTCAAAGAGTTCAAGGTGTGAGAAAGATATTTAAGTAAATAATACCGATGCAGTGTGTTAAGTGTGCTAATAAAAATAGCATTAGAAACACACAGAGGACTCTGAATAACTCTGCCCAGCTCAGTTCTCAGAAAAGGTGGCTTTTGAGCATAGCAATGACTGGCTTCATTTATTCCTAGATTAAAGAGCCCCTGGTTCTGAACTTCATGGAGGATTGTCTCATTGATTATTTTCACATTCTATTTCATAACTAATACAATCTTGAGTTCTTGTAGAAATCTGGAAGACCTTCCAGAATTGGTCTGACAATTTTCAACCCATCAGGCCACCCTCTGTTTCCAGGTGCCTTCCCTTCCACTGTACAGATAGACCATGAACCACAGGGTGATCCAGTTGCATGTGATCTTCCTCAACGGAGAACGTTCAAGGTCACTGCTATCATGATCCCATTATATAGGTGAGGAAATAAAACCTCAGAGAATGAAAGTCATTTGCCTAAAATCAGGTGGGTAGTAAAGTGGCAGAGCTGAGACTCAAATCTACTGTGTGTGTGACTCCACAGCTCTTAACCTCACCACTCTGTAGTTTGGGACACCCAGTAGCTCATTTGCAAACGCATTCATGTGGCCTCTGTTCTCTAGGTAACTTTGTGTGTACATTTTCTCATTAACTTCCTTCTCTGTCGATGAAGTGTAAAAGGATTTTTAAAAAGGGAAAAAAAAAACCAACCCTCTCTGTACCCAGGAAGAGGTAAAAACTTATATCGGGAAAAGATAACTCAGAAAGGAAGAAATATTGAGTATAAAATCATTCCCCAAATACCCCTCGCTTTTCCCATAGCTTCTTTTATAAAGTGACAAGCATTTCCATCTTCACCTTATATTTTTGCCTACATTAGCAAGAAATATTTTGCTTGATACATAATTTTTGATAAGGGAAGATTCATCAGAATAAAAAAACTATAATATTTCATATACTTGAATGAATTTTAGGATGGAAGTTAAACAGAACAATAGGAGTATTCATATTATAATCACCATTTTTAATGATCTAATTTTAAGATTTTGTTAGAAGCTGAGAGTAGAATCCACACAAACATTGAGTTAGTGAAGGGTACTAATAGCAAAAATTCCTCAGAGCCACGAAGATTAGTCTTTGCTGTAAGTTAGGATAATATTCTGTTAGAAGAGTTCTGATTTTAGTATTGTGTAAGCTGTTTTCTTAATACATATCTACCCTCTGCCTAGGTGATATTCATGAAATAAGGCATAGATAATGCATTTAGTAACACTGAGCTGAATCATGCAAAACACAATTTGTGTGCAGTTTTGGGGAGTATAAAATAAAAGTTGTTTTAAATGTCAAAAAAAATCCATAAAAATAAAGCATTCTAATCAGGGAAAAAATTTAAAAGCTTGTGTCATAAAGGAAAACAATTTACTTGTGCCGGTACCCTTAATAAGTGCCCCAAAGCGTTCCAGTGCTGTTACATTCTCTAATGATATTACAGTATGTGGCACATCTCATCTAATCTGTTAGTAAAATCCTAAAGTCACTTATGTCAGTCTCTAATGCAAGCCAAATGAGTCTTTCCAGTAATAAGAAGCTTCACAGAATTAGTTTTCGTTTTGCAGAAAATTGCCATTGGGGCTGGCACTTTTATCTAAAAATTTCACTCGTGCATAAGCAAAAAACTCATATATTATTTGGTTACATTCCATCAGTATGAGAAATAACATTGTGAGAATTCTATGCATGCTAATGATATATAGAAATCCACCTGCTTTCAGATAAAATGAGTTTAATTTTCTGTTGCCCACTGCCTGGTTGGCCTTTCATAAATTACTTATGCACAGCTATTATTAAAATAGAGGGAAAGCAAATTAGAAAGTCCTCCTATCTCTCTACTGGATTTAGCCAAGGCAGGGCTGTGACAGCTAGAGTCAGCGTTTTTGAAAAAATTCTGCTCTCTTGAAAAATTTTGCATCTCTATACAATTCTATACCACTGTTGTAAACGTTCTGACCTGCCTTCTTACCAAATTAACCTAAATCCTTTCTATTTTTCAACATTAATGGAATCCTCTAGAGTCCTGCTGATATATATTAAAATATATTTATTGGTTAATTTGAATTCCAGCATTTTGTACCTCATTTCCAGCACTCCTGTTATATCTGAACAGCTTTGAGCTTTAGCATTAAAAACTTACAAATTAAGATACATACAGTACCTCTTACAATTATCAGATCAAAACAACTTAACTTTTATTGGAGTATAGAATGGGAAATTTAACTTTCTGATAAAACAGAAAATGAAGACTGTGTGAAAGAGTTAATTGGATTTCAAAAGGTGTTTTCTAGGTAATGGGGGGTCTTTATTGGTCAATGAATACTTGACCTTTTGGTTTTGGTTTTAAGGACAGGTGAAAAGTTTTTATTTTGAAGTCCAAAGTTCCCAATCACTTACACTAATTTCTGTTAATTATTTTGCTTTGTTCAATTATGGTTACAAATTTCTTAGAATGTATCAGGTGATGACCATGTCTTTGAAGGCTGAGTAAGCATTGATTAGGCTCTACCCTTGCAGTGAATGCTTTGGTGTTAAAAGAGATATCAAAATCCTGTTGGAAGAGCAACTTCAGCTGCGGTTCATAGTGAAAAAGATAACACTTCCCAGCCATTTCATAAAATCTCAGTATAAAGAGATCAGTTTCTAAGACAATTGCATCCTGTGTCAGGAAGGATGGTTACATTACCCAAGTAGTGTCTTAACCTAATTCTGGAAAATAAAATATGCTCATCAGTTTCTGCTGTTAAGATCTTTTTCATAGTGTTTGGATATAAGCTTTGTGCCTAGGTGCAGTTTTTAAGAGTATCTTGGTAATAGAAGTTATTAATACATATAAAATAAAAATAAAAATATGTATTTGCAGTATGTGTGTGAGGTAAGAGTGGAGCAGTTTTAGAAAAGTATGTTAGAGTGGGGAGGGAGACACCTCTTTTTTTTGTCATCTGTGCCTCTAATCTTACCTCACCATTTTTTTTCCTCTTTGGGAGAAATCTTTCAAAGATAACCAACAAGCTTATACTAATGTTCAAAATGGATGTTCAAAAAGAATCCCAAACAAACAAACCTAGCAACACAACTAAAAGACATACAAATGATTTTGAAAATCTGCTGTTGTAAGATACTGGAAGAAAATTTCATTTTCAGGTCTGGTCCACAGCAGTGTTCGAATAGAGTCCTCTCTCCTCCTGATAAAGTTTAATGATAAAGTGTTTGTTTCTTGAGAAAACTGGATGAAAAATACTATTTCTATGTCCAGCATCATTAATCCTAAGTTCAGTGTGTAATTATGTGGTCTTAGGATGCCTTTAAAATACAACTATTCTGAAATTTGCAAAGTGAAATTCACTAATAGAGTTTTGTCAGTTGTCTCGAAAGACAGAATACAGAGTTTAAGATCAGTCAACTCCTTGAACCATGATATGTTAATTCTCTGTTTATAAAATACATAACTAGCTGAACCTTCTTAGTTGTCTTGTTTTTATCCTGGCACTGGTGGTTTGAGCCAAGAAATCCCACGGAAGACAATCAGAGTGTCATTACTCCCTAGGCGTCTGCATAAAGTCTAGCACCTGCATGAAAAGAGAAACATCTATTCCTTTAGATAAGTTTAAGTTGTCAGCATGGTTGGCATTGTGCAAACACAGCTTCCTATCCATTCTAAGGGTTGTAGACTAGGAAGAAACATAAATCTAAATTGGAAATAGAAAATGAATTAAATTATCAGGATCATTCAGACAAAAAGCCAAAATAAAGTTTTGCAAATAAGCCGATCACATGCTACTTCTCAAAAACTGTAGCTTGCTTTTCCTGTCAGACTGTTTGCTTTAAATTAATTCATCATTTAATTGATCAGTTGTTTCTCTATAAATTGATTGAAAGGCAGCATGAGTGGGGTTGTACAAAGCTAGGAACTACTGAATTTGACAGAGCTAGATTTGAAACTTGGTTATAGCATTACCTAGTGATGCTATTCTGGCTAGGTATATAACCTTACTTGAGCCTCAGTTTCTTCATTTATAAAAATGGGATAATATCTTACTCATAGTTTGTTGGGAGGATTGAATAAGATTATATATGAAAATGATTTACTTTTGAGTATGTAGGTGCTCAATAAATGTTAGGCTTACTTTAGTTCATGTAATCAGCTATAGGTATGAAGGCTTTTTAGAATGTGCTTCAGATCTTATACATTTTTTTTGTAGTATTAGAGGTATGATTTCCATGTATAACTTTCCTTTGGTCATTTGTAGGTATGTAAAAATATTTTTGTTGTTGTTCTACTCTTAGATCTCATATATGTTTTTATAGTATATTGGTATGACCTCCTATATATAGCTCCTCAATATGTACATCCATGAATGAAGCAGAGATCTTGTTTCTTAAAAGAGGACAGGACTTTGAAAATATGAAGGATTTCAATACATTCTTCAACAAAATCCTTAGGTGCTCATTGTAGAATATTTGGGAATTATAGAACAATATAAGTTAAAAAATGAAAATCTTTCCATATTCCAAAGATCTTTGAATATATTGTCTTTTCAGCTTATTTCTGAACGTATATCTATATATCTTTTTACAAAATTGAGATCATAATGTATTTCCTAAGATTTTTTTTTTAAGATTTTATTTATTTATTTGACAGAGAAACAGCGAGAGAGGGAACACAAGCAGTGGGAGTGGGAGAGGGAGAAGCAGGCTTCCTGCGGAGCAGGGAGCCCAATGTGGGGCTCGATCCCAGGACCCTGGGATCATGACCCAAGCTGAAGGCAGATGCTTAACGACTGAGCCACCCAGGCACCCTATTTCCTAAGATTTGATACACATTTAATTTAGTAACATTTGTGGTTCCTCATGACTTAAATATTTTTATAAGCATAATTTTTAATGACTGCAACATATTCAATTGAATGATCTTACAGTAATTTATCAAACCATTTGCTATTTTTGAATGCTTAGATTGTTTCTAATTTAGTGCTCTTGTATAAATTTGTTTAACATAAATAAGACTTTTTTGTTGCTAGTGGGTTTGAACTTTTAATTGGAATTTTATTGGAATTTGAATTGTCTTTGGTGAATCATCTTTTCTTATCCTTTTATCATTTATCTATTGGTGTGTTTATCTTTTTCTTATTGACTTATAAGAACTACTTATATATTAAAATATAAATCCTTTATCATTTTGCATTTATTTTTGGCCTTTTAATATTATGATGTTTTAAACCTTATATAGTTTTACATTTTTATGGTGAAAAAGAAATCCTTTCTTTTATTTATAATATTATACATTTTAATACTTCTATAAATATTACTTCCAAATATTTTACTTCAGAGAGGGGAAGAATTATTGCTTAAAATTAATTCTCTTTTTATAATTTTATTTTTTACATTTTATACAAATCATGTGAAAGTAATTTTTGTATTTTATGAAGAGGTAGGGTGTTAGTTTTATTTTTTCCATAAAGTAGGGCACTTTTTCCTATTTCTTATATTGGATAAATCTCATGGATTTATGATACTTTCTGACTTATTTCTCAGTTATCTATTAGATCTATTTATCTGCAGATATTTCCCCGCTAATACTGTGTTCTTTTATACAATACAAATCTTAGTTATTTTATCAGTATTTTGGCAATAATAAAATAATTATTATAATAAATGGTAATTATGAAGAGGACAAGAATGATCAGTTCAGTCAAGTCAAAGTCAATTTGCTAGGTAACCTTGGTTAAACTGCTTACTCCACTTGGGGTAGTAAAGTGGGAAGGATCTACTAAATGGGGAGAATAGTACCTGGTGAACACTGTGGGTGACTCCTCACTAGGCACTTTAGTCCCACTCTTTAGTGGCCAATTATGGTGGTCTTATCATGGTTAACACAGATTGGTTTAGATAGGGTCCTGTCTAAGCTAATTTGGGCCAAAAAGACTTTAGAAAAGTCTTGCTCGGGGTTTCTGGGAAAGAGTTTCCTGCAATTTAACAGATGGGCAGGCTAGTTTCTGTTTGTCTGTCTCTGAAACACACCTACATTTCCCTTGACCATGAACAAGGAATTCCATTTTTCTGTCTACTACTGGCAGTCATCTTGAGATTATGAGGCAAGCCAGTCTGAGGACTAGAACTGACCCAATGAGAAGGGAAAAGCTGAGAAAATAATGTGAAGTAGATCCTGAAGCCCTTGTATCCCTTTGTCTGAAGCCCACACTACTTCTGACAGGTCACTGTTAGTTGCAGCTGTAAGCATCCTGATTGATACATATTACCTCTTCCAAGTTTAGTGTGATAAGCAAATAAAAGCAGGATTCCATAGTGCTTTAGACTATTGCCAGGAATAATATGTGATTGTCATCACCAAGATATCATTAGATATGAAAATGTTACTGTCATTATGCACGAGTTAGTGGATCACACATCTCAACCAGCAAAAAATGTTTGAGCATGTTGCTTTGATATATTTATTTATTAGATGCATTACTGTACACATATATGTGATAAAGAATGTATATTAGATACATATAGCATTGTGTATTATGTACATTATAAAAATTCACAAAATAAGAAACTAGAAAGAGATAAATATGAGATAACTAATTTAAAATCATTTATTTTGTTTACTTATGTTACAGAAAACTTGTTTTCCTCACTAACAGCATCATCATTATTAAATTTATTTTATAAAAGTATCTGCTGGTAACACCCCAATGCAAGCACTTACCATCTTAGAAAAGGTCAACAAATCATGAGCAGTTGTTTTTAAAAAAAATGTCACAACCCTCCTTTACATTCAACTCTTTTAAGTAGTTTTTGAAGAAACTACCAGCACACATCTATAATACACCAGGCTTTTCTTGCTCCCTCCCAACCTACTTCAGATATTGTAAAGTAACATCTGTATATATATTTAGCCTCACACATAAACTGCAATAGGCCAAAATATGCCGAAAGTTTGTGGAAGAATTAGGGCTTCCCTGTTGACCCTCTACATTGCTAAAATCGCGTATTTCCCTCCACCACACTGACAAACCTTTTACGTTAGGTTGACCAATTTAGGGTGTCATTGTCAAGTATATATTAAATACCACTAGGGTTTATTTTATTCCTTTTTAAGATAAAGATAAATAAAAACTCATTATTTCTTCCCATAGGTCAGTGGCTTCTCTTATGTCCTCTTGGTCTATGAGTACCCTGCATAGGGATCCATCAGTTAGATATCAAGTGTGAGCTGCTATTAAAGAAAAATTAACAAAGCCTTTATACAAATCTATTTTTTTGTTCAAAAGCAGCAATCATGAGATAACATGTTGAAACAGTTGGAAAACAGATCCTAAGCAACAGACAGACTACTCTAGTACACCTTCCACAGCAATGGAGAGCCGATAATATCATATACTTATGGTAAAATTGAGCTGGCTTTAAAATAAGGTAAAAACATAGTTACATCTGGGTACTCTGAGTTCTTGGCAAGTGAGTTACATTATATAGCCAAAGTGTATTGCTTCTTACAGACTAAACATTCAAAAATCAATGCTTTTATTATATTTTAATATTTCTAGTATGAATTTCAATCATTTGTGCACTAAATAAGCAAATATTTCCAAGAGTGTTCTGTAGATTATTATAGAGGGCTCATCTGACGTGTGTGAGACCATTTGCCACACCCTTAAGTAATTCCACATGGCCATCCTTTTTGAATTCTTGCTTCGCTTTTTGTGGTGTCTCTTTTCCTTTTATATTGTTGTTTCTTGTTAATATACTAAGGTCTGCTTCTGCAGCCCTTCTCTCCCTTCCTGATTTGCTGCTTTAAATCACTATTGGCCTCGAAACAAGTTAGAAATGTCCGTTAAAGACTAAACTGGTTTTGATTACTGTTCTAAGTTCTCTCCTATGAACAGACTATAAATTTTACTGCCTGGGTGTTATAACATACATTCTGGTTACTTAATATTCTTTTTATTTTTTGGTTTTGGGATTGGTGAGGAGGCTACAGACCCATGCTTCAGAATGGGTAAACTGTTACTTAAGCACATAGTGTTTTCTGCTTTTGACTTGGTGGTAGTGGATTCCTTCAAACTTGATGCATCTGTTGATCATTAAGCCTTAACTCCCAAAAGGTAATTATGACCTATTTCCTGTTTTCCACCTTCTTAAAATTTTTTTTTCCTCAGAATAGGAAATTTGGAAAAACATAAACATCCTAAGGAATGCCAAGAAGGAATCCTGTACTGAACACTAGTGACCTCCTACTTAATTTTTGTTATTCCCTTAACCTGAGACCAAATTACAAAGTATTCATTGACCAAGAATTGTTTATTTTTGACTTCGGGAAATTCAAAGTCATTGCCTAAATTTTTGGCTGAAATGAAGTAAATGAATGAAATTAGTAAATAAAATAAAATAATATGTATTTGTTGTTTGCCCTACAATAACTTTCAAATCATTTGACTACTTACCAAAACTAGCTAGAGTTGACAGTATTCATTTGATATTTGAAGTGCATTTCATAATATATTTTTTTTTGCAATTTTGAAGTTATTTAACACCTATTCTTTGAGAAATTACAGAAATTTATTAATCACACAGAATGAAGTCCAATAATACTACCACTTTCTGTCTGCTTTGTATTTTACAATTTTTAAAGCATTCTTTCCATAACTTAATTTTTTTTTAGTTCTTGGAACAATGCCAAGAGGCAAATGGGGCAGGTATTATTAACTATTTTACAGATGAGAAGACTGAGCCACATTAAAATTGCACCTAAGGGACTGACCAAGGTCACAGAGAAGGCTTATAATTAATAGAACTGGGATGAGAATGCTAAGTCAATGCTTTTTGCCCTTCAGCATGCTGTCTGAGGGGACAGTTCACAGAACTCCTGATATGAAAATGAATGCTTAATAAAAACCTGATTGGGGCACCTGGCTGGTTCAGTCAGTGGAGCCTACCAGTCTTGATGTTGGGGTTGTGGGTTTGAGACCCATGTTGGGTGTAGAGATTACTTAAAAATAAAATTTTCCCAACCACCCCCCACCCCACTGATTAATTGATAAAGAAGCAAAACATCTCTAACTGAAGTGAGAAGAGGCAAAGATCTCAGAACAGACCTGGAGAGGAGCTGGCATGTGCCTATGCATTTTTGTTCTCAGTCACTGCTAGATTCTGTTCCTACACTTGATGAAATGGCCCAGGAGTCCTTCTTCCCTGGCCATGGCTATAGCCGCTGTACGTGGAACCACTCTCCATTTAACTAGGATTAAGGAGGAACCATAGAAGAGAGACAAAGGGAGTCCTAAGGGAGTCCTCTCCTTACTAAATAGGCTGAAAAAATGTTCAGATTCACAGCTGTTAGAAACAGCAGGTCTTTGGCACCCTCCCCTTGTGGAAAATGATGATGAGAAGTTCTAGTCCTTCAAAGTTCAAAGTTCCTGGACTTCAGAGTTCTGTTGTTTCTTTGAGTCTTGGGAAAGGACTTTAGGATGACGTAGCACATATCAGTACATACAATATTTTACAAAAGTCAGTCCTTTGTCCCCAGAAATTAATTTTCCTTTTTATTTAGCATAGGACATATCCTAGAAATTTAGTAAAGGGCATGCTACAATACTAAGAATTCTATAATTAATGTTGGCCAGGATTGAATTTAAATCCCTTACTTTTCAGGGTCTAATTAAACTGAGACATTATTGTGAGTGGAATGAGACATTTTCCTGACCAACCATATATTAATGGTTTAATGGGTAAGGATTTTATGTTAAAAGTTTAAAACATATTTGGAATAATGCATTTTCCTTTGAAGTTAAAAAGAGTGAAAAGTTATCTTGCCTTAACATAAAAGGAAATCACCTTTGATATAAGAGGCCTTATTAGGGCAGATATTATTTTATTTCTTTACAATTCTCAGTAGCTCTAAAATACACTACAAGATTGTAAATATAATTATAGACACTACAGCAAGATAACCATTGTAGTTTAGTAGCTTTTGGTTCTAAATTACTAATTCATTTTAGATCACATTTTTAGCTGTTAAATTGAACTCTGGAATAAATGTTAATATTTGCGGGTAGCTTCACTGTAAAACTGTTGATACAACACAATTGTGCATTCAAGTGCTTAATTCAGGTTTTACTTGTGCTGTAAAAGGTAGTTTAATATATGTTCTAGAAAGTAAGCTATAAGAAAATAATCATCTGTTGATGTTTATGGTGTACTCTACAAAAGAAATACTGTTCATTTTCTGGCAATCATTTTTTCCCCCAGAATTATAAATTATATGCATTAACAGCATTAACATCTTAGATGTCTGTAGCTTTTTCTCAAATAATTCAAGTGCTTTTTACATCTATTATTTCATTGAATCTTAACATCAATATTCAAACTCACAAATCAATGTTAATTGAAAATAGTATTATAAAACTTAAACCTGAAAGAGCAGTGCATAATATGAAGTTTATAAACTATAAAAATTATAAAAAAGACAAACCTCCAAAAATGTTCTATTCCATAAAAGAATATTCTTCAAATTTCACAAAGACCAAAATAGTAGTTAGATTATTTAAAACTCAACTGATATTGAATAAAATCATCAGGCATAAATAAAGCAGCCAGAAATGCTATAAAATAAGCCTTCAATTTTTGTGTAAAATAAAAGTGTGTTTTCATGCTCATACAAGCTTATAATCTTCTTCTGCCCTACTTCTCTGATCTCAGGAAGAAAGGATCAAATTCTTTTGCTTTTTTCAGTTTTGTCGAAATAGAAATCATAGATCTTAGGAGAAGGGGACAAGGAAGCGCAACAAAGGTCAAAGCTAAGGGCCAAGTGGACTGAAAAGAAAGCTGAATTCATTTTCCCGAATCCAACTGCTCTCTGGAGTTGGCTTATCAACGTCTTGTGTTGTAGTAGTAATGTAACTGTCACTCGGATCTATATTCCTCCTGCAAATAGAAAAATAGCCTGTTAATTTCAGGAAGAGTATAATTGTCACAAAGCCCTCAGATTAAGGCCCAGTGACCGAAAGGAATGGAGGAGCACTCAGAGATGTTCAAGATTGAACTTGGATAATTTACTTTTGTCACCACCAGCAAATCCCAGAGCTGGATCTCTTGAAGCTTACTGTGTTTGGTTTCAGTAGCACAGGGGTTAAGTTTTCTTCCAGCTTTTGCCCCAGGCTCTTCTCAGGAGCTGGGAAAGCAGTTCTCGCAATTCCCAAGTAAGTGCATTCAAGACAGCATAAGGCAGAGCTCAAATTC